GTTCGATATCGGTTCGACTCGGTCTGAATGCGGTCTGACTTGACCGGTCTAGGTCTAAGGGTAAGTCGAGTCACGGGTCGGTTGTGTGGACCCTGGGTTAGGTCGACAGATTGACGCCTGAATCCTTGAGCTTAAAAACGACGTCGTTTTGACCCTTTACTGAAACGGCGTCGTTTTGGTTTTGGCACTTTCTATAAAAGTCAAAAAATTTTTTTTTTCATTTCCCACTTTTTACAGAAAAAACCTTCTGTTTTTTTTTTTTCAGGTCGACCTAGGGTCGGTGGCCGTCCGTCGTGACTGTCGCCGTAGTCCTCTCCGGCGACGAGTTCCCACTGCCGTCATCGGAGTCGAAAAATTTAAAAAAACACCCACAATCTCCTATCGACTCCCTGAACACAAATTCAACTTTCTTTTCATCAAAAAGAATCCTCAATTCCTTGCTTTTGAAGTTTAAGTGAAATCATTTTTTTTTTGCGTATTCTGATTTTTTTTTATTTTTTTGAAATTGACTTTTTTTTTTCTTTGTGCAGGGGCTCTTGACGCTACGTTCCTCCTTGCGGAGATGACTAAGCTTTTGTTTTTTTATATTTTTTGGCAGAATGTTTTTGGGCAAGATTCTTTTTTTTTTTTTTGTTGTCTGGCCAGAAGCTCTATTTATGAGCTCTATTTTTTCGTGTCGAATAAATTTGATGTCCACAATAAGTGATATTAATCCTTTATTAAATAATTATTTTGTTAACAAGTGTTTTAAGGATTCATATTGACTATATTAAAAAATTTATATTTTCAAGATACTTAAAATGATAAAATAAATTATTAAAATTAAAATTTAATTTAATTGATTAATACAAACACTTTAAAAAATAGTATCCAATAGGTTTTAAGTACGAATCTAATTGCTTGCGACCCCTTCCCCTATTCTCATGTGACCTTTTATATAAAAAAAAAAATGATAAAATAAATTGTTGACTATCACATTTACTACAAAAATGTTATTATAGATTGTATTTTAACTAACATTAAACACACTTGTTAACAAAATTCATTATTTAAATAATAAATAAGAATAATAAAAGAAGATGATCATTCATATGGACAAAGTTAACTTTTTAATCATATGTTAAATTGATTTACCAATCTATAACCTAATCCCAAAAAAATAATTACTTTGTTTCTTCTCTGCTTGCAAATAAACAAGAACTTGAAAATTTTTTTTTTGTCTATTTGCAAGCAAAGAAAAAAAGTAGATTTATTTTTTTGAGATTAGGTTATAGATTGTTATAACGGCTGTTAAATTTTTATAATGAAAATGTCAAATTTGTTTATTTGAATTTTTTTGAACAAAAAAAAATCTCAAAGGAATGATTTCCAAAAAAAAAAAAAAAAACTCAAAGAAATGAAAAAGAAATAGGTTAAGCTTACGAATTTACAAATGGGAAATTGAAAAAAATTCATGCATGGGATCAAATCATAGGTGTTTAATTATAGCGAAAGCTAATCGATGTAAATGCAGCCCACGATGAGCACAGAACCGATGGATGTTTTCCGACGTTTGCTTTCTCTCTTTCCCTTTAATTTGTTACTATTGGAGACAAAAAGAACACTTCAAATCAAAGATGATCTGTTTAGATATTTAAGAACACTTCAAATCAAAGATGACCTGTTTAGATATTTAAGATATTATATATATATAAAGAGAGAGAGAGAGAGAGATTCACTTATATTAGTATAAGTGCTATATACTTATTATTATTGTATCAAAATAAATAAGTGTAAGTTAGTGTAAATGAATTCCTACTACATATATAATCAATTGATCAAGGTGATGCCTCACTTTATTATTCTCGTGGTAATTATTAATTAATGAAATAAAACCGCCATACTCATATTGATTAAATTTAGTCCTACATGCATGCATATTTAAATAATTTAAAAGACATGGGCATTCTCTCTTATGTCAAACTAGCAAGTGTTAGCCTGTTAGAGCAGAGTAGGATTAACTATCCTTATTTCTTGGCCTTGAGTGAATTAAATACATATCTAATCTTTAGATGTGAATATATATAAAATATCCAATGAATTATTACTCTTGACAAAATTTTTTGGTACAGAAATTTGCATGCTCATTTATTTCTTATATTAACTTTTAAAGTGTAGTTTAATAAAACATGTGATAACATTCCACTCCTGCAGTTTAAAAAATAATTCATTACATCCGTTATGATTGGTATAATTTAAGTTCATGCTCTTGATAGTTAAATTTAGTATATCCCTTACTGATAACTTCAAATAAAAGAAAAATGTCTTATCTATACTGATGTGATCAATCATGAAATATGCATGCTTATTTATGTAAAAAAGGAGGGGAGGATGGAAGTTGATCACTAGCTAGCTAGTTTAATATTGCTTAGGAGTTACCTTCTTTTATGTAGTTAATTGTGTGTATACAAAAATAAAGAAATAGTAAATTATATGATTATATATGTAAATAAAAATTAAGGTACTCGAAGTAATAATAAGTAAATATTTGTTTCCAGGATGGTTCATATATAATAAAGGTGACATCAATGAATTCATTCATATATATTCACAGCAGAAATTCCTAGAAAAGCAAAAAAAAAAAAAATCAGTTTTTTTTTTCAAAGGAATATTAATTAAAAGAATGGAATGTTAAGGAATGATTCCTAATGGAATATATTGATTTGTTTATTTATATGATTGTGGATGAATCCGATTCAAAGATAGTATTTAGATATCAATGTCTGAATCAAGAATGTATAATGTAATATATCCAGAATTTCCAACATAATATCCGCGGAATATTAATTGGGGTGAAAAGATGATAGGAACCTAACAAATTACAGTATGCCTCCTAACTTAACCATGTCTTCTTTGGCCCCAAAAAACCTAAATCATGTCTTTCTCACAATATATATATATATATATATATCATATTTCTCAATACATTGATGCTTTTATCTTAGCTAGTCGTCGTAAAAATACATACTCGAGTACTTGAAATTAGTAGTATGTACAAGTAATTAATTAATTAATTAAGCAATGAGGTGGGTAGCTGAAGTGGGTGATTATTTATATTTGAAAATTGGTTCCAAATAGATAAAATCCTAAGTTGAAAAAGTTGACAGATGATCATATATTGGGTTGGTGTTCTAGTGATTGCCAAGAATATAGGTACGCTGAGGCATACATAATAAAATGATCCTTCTATTCCTCCCAGTCACTCGCAAAGGAGAGATCCATACATGTTCACGTCTCTATAACTATTCTAAATTGTATACAATTATCATTAAGAATTGATATCCACTTGCTTATTGCTATAACTTACTAAACGTAGCTATTTTTTTATAGTTTTATTGCCAAACCAAACAAAACCTAATCTCCTAAAAATGAAAGTGAATCGGTTTTCTTTCTCAAAAAGATGGAAATGTGTTATTATATATATATATATATATATATATTATTTTAAGTTAATGCGTGCACACACATGACATAATGTTTAAGACGTGAGAATTGTTTTTGGGTGTAATGAGTAATGAGTCATAAGAAAGGCGTGCATAGATGGACTAATTATTAATGGAAATTAAGTTGAGATTCCAATCCATCCATCGAGCTTCCTAATTGATTCCCCTTTTCTTTCTTTTTTTTTTTTTTTCTTATCATGGTTTCTTAGTCTAATCTGCGCTTTGTCAGATTCTCACTTTCTCAATCACTCCATATATGCCTAACCAATGGATCGAGTGGAGTGTACCCTCCAACTTTCTACTTTCCCTAATTTGCTACTAATTACTTGACTGTTACTGAAACTTACAACTAATTATATATCCTCTAAATTCCACAATGCCCACATCTCCAAATCTCTCATCTTTCTTCTCTCAATTTTCAAATAAATAAACCTACACAATTATCATCCGTTGAAAGTTAATTTGTTGAAATCTTCGTTACTTGTTTTCATTTTATTTGGTAGGTATATATACAGAGAGAGAGAGAAGGGATCAATTTGTATTGTGTAAAAGTAAAATAGTTTTACATATTTTTCTAACAATTGATTTCATTTGATCCGATGAATAAGAGAGATAAATAAAAAAAAAAAGTTAATCTAATCTCTTAAATCTATTGAAATCTATTATTAAAAAAATATATAAATTTTTTATTTTTACACTATTTAAATTGATCGCTTCTCATATACATATATATATATATTTCTACAAATTAAGTATAAAGTTAGAATTATACTAAGTGGCATATATGATTACAGAACTCAATTTGACAAACACTAGCATCTTTCTATTTCGCACATGTATAATATTTGCCAAATACTATTCCTTCTTCTCCAATGACTAGATGCTTGGAATTAAGATAAAAGATACTAGTATTATTGGACATCTATTCCTATTCCTATTCCTATTCCTTTACTAATTAATTTATAACTTCAAGTAACCTGCTACCTATAATGTTGCGTTCTAATTTGCCCTTCACGGGGCTTGAGCCTCCGTTACTGCATCCACTTGTGCATATTAGCATTATACATATATATATATACACATATATACATACATATATATATATATATAAACTAGCTACTGTTAGTATATATGCCTGGTTATATACATATTATAAAATATAGTAAATGTGGGCAGAGAACATGCATGCAATGCAAAAGTAGGAAAATTGTTTTCCTAAAAAAAAGAAAGATAAATATGGTAAAGTAGGCAACGAGACAAATGACGAATGTGTCGTCCCGCATATAATTAGGTTTGCGTCCACAAAATATAATAAGAAAGAAAAAGAGGCTTGCTTTAATGTTAAAAGTAGTAGCAGGTGGTTAGTTTGTTTAGTGGGATTGAATAGCGCGTTCTAACAAGTCCAAGTACATCAAATGCTACTGTGCGTGTGAGCCTCAAACTCCCCTAGAAATCTTATAAAAAGGGAGTGTAACGTGATTCGTATGACAATTAAATAAAGAGATTAAGGTAAGAGAGAGAGAGAGAGAGAGAGAGAGAGAGATGGAGTGGAGGTCATGTTATTTGGACATGGTTTTGGTGCCACTAGGCTTTCTGATGACCATAGCTTATCATTGCTGGCTATGGCATAAGGTTCGGACTCAGCCCCTCTCTACCATCATCGGAACCAATGCCAGCGGACGTCGCTACTGGGTCTCTGCCATGATGAAGGTATATATATATGTCACTCTTCACTGATCTCCATCCCTACCCAGGCCCAATCCATCGTTACTTCTATAGTCACACATCATATGAATTTTCTTTAATTCCCTCTTTTTCCCCTTATAATACACTTAATTCACTTATATATATATATATATATCATTTTCATTTTATTTTTATTTTATGCAAGACTCCGATCCTTCAGCTTTATCTGAAAAATTAAAGACAACTTGGGCGGATCTCCTTTTAATTACTTTTATAATTGTAAGGGGAAAGTGTTGAACTTCATTACTCTTAATTAAAAATATATGTCAAACATTAATATTTTTTATTTATTACTAGTAGTATTATCATTTTTTTTGGGCCTCCTATTGCCGGTAGTTATTTAAGAAAAGGGCTAGTTTAGCTGTTGAAACAAAGTTTGAGCTGAGAAAAGTGCGTTTAAAGACTATGATAAAAAAGAATGGCTAAAAATTTCAATTGTTTGGTATTATTGTAAAAAAATGTTATGAAAAATTGAAATATTTAAAAAGATATATATAAAATATTAAAATATTAAAAATATGGTTAATATAGTGATTTTTTATTTCAATTGCATTTTTTCACCCCAAAAATATATCTTGAACAACTTTTGTTGTTTAAATTTGCAAGCTAGATTTTTATATTGAAAAATCAAATTTGTTCTTGTTTAACATTGAGATTAAACTAAAAGTAGCTTTTAAATGTAAAATCTAATTTTAACATTAATGCTCAACTAGGACATAGCATAAATCCTGTCTCTCACGTTTTGTTTGTCTTTTTCCCTTTCTTTTATAAATGTAGGTGGTGCTTGGTATTTTTTGCATAATTTTTATGGTAATGTAATCACCGAAATAATTTTATTATTAAAGTGATTTTAATTCTTGTAATTTGAAATCATTTTGTTTGGTTAATAGTTATTAATTTTTAGGAATTAAAGATTACTTTGATGGATATTATTTTGTTTAAAAGTATGAAAATAAAATCATATATATTATAATAGTTACACAAATCAATAATTTTAAGGTTGTTTAAAAATAATAATTTATAAAATATTAGTTTTATTTATTTATTTATTTAATAATAAGATATAATTAAATTATTAAATTAAAAAATATATCTATTAACAGATAAATTAATTTTTATAATATAAATTATGTAAAAAAATATTTAAATTAGAAAATAAAACCAATCTATCAAATTCATAATAAAAGAAAAACAAAAAATTTATATTATATAAAATATTAAAAAAAGTAAAAAAATAACAAAATTGTTTTTGAACATGTTACAATGAATATTAATTTGAAAATATAAAAATGTATAATATAAATAATTAAAATTTTCAAATGAATTTTTTATTATTATTTTTATATATAAGCTCAACTCGATGATAAAAATTTTTCTCTTTTGTATGGGAATTATATCATTTTTTAAAACAATGATTTAATCATTTTCAGTGATATAAAATTACTACCACATAGGATTATCAAGTATTTAACAAACACAATGATCTAATTACTAAGTATAAAATTATCATAATTTTTGACATAATCATTTCACATCAAACACTAACATATAATTTACATAGACAGAAGGCACTGGGTTGATTGAATATTGGGCATTCCAATTTGGGATCATTAGTATTACTAAGCGGAGACGCAATTGGTAAAACACGTGAGGTGAGAGGTAGCGTAATTAGACACCATTTCTGATCATCACCACCAAAATGCCAATCCATCCATATATATCAACTTCTTCTAACCAACCATATATTTATAAGGGGGCGGGGAGGTATGCTTTCTGCTGCATTTAAATTGCTGAATTTCTTAGTTGTTTTACCTATGAGTTTATCACTTCATTGATCGATCCATCTCACAGCTTCTTAATTTCCCAATTGTGAGAAATATTACACAGTTTAGTTGGTTTCTCTTTGGACCATGGGTCGCATGATTGGATGTTCATATTAGACTTAGAATACACTTCATACACACATATAGATAAGTATCCTTTTAATTCGACAATAACGGACACTAGTCATGCGTTCGTCTTACGTAATGACAATAATCAGTGGTATCGTCGTGGATGAGAGTTGGGACAGGTTTAAGGTTAAGTGCCATTCACAATCACAATCATATATTTGACTCTTATTAGTATTTCACTTAAAGGTGCCTTGCGTAATATACCACTTTTTTATCTGCTGATCGAAGTCGGGCACTCAACCAAAATAGAAAAAAAAAAAAGAAAAGGAGAAAAAACAAAAAAAGATATATTGATTGATTGTTATTTCCATTATTATTCCTGATGTTTACACATCTATATCTATATACCTCTTTATAAAAATCATGCCACTTCTCCCACCAATTTTATTACTAATATTTGTATTCTTGACATGTTGTATAATTATTGGTTAATCGGTTGTAAGTCTACCAATTTATAAGTAATTCAATTAATTTATAAATGACATATTATAATCATACCAAAAATTATATCATGTCAAAAAATATAAAAATTTGAGATAAAAATTGAGGGACGATAGTTTTTTCCCATATACATATATATATATATATATGAAGAGAGATCTATTTATACTAATGTAATTTTTACACTTTTTAAAATCCTTAAATCAAAATTAAATTCATGATTTATTTATAAAGAGAGAAAGGATCGACTTAACCAATGTAAAACTAAAAAGTTTTGTATTTTTTTAATTATTGATTTCAATAGATTTAAGAAATGAGATTAAACTATTTTTTTTCTTTTTGATTTATTTTTTTTATCATTTGGATCTATTAAAATCAATAGTTAAAAAATGTATAAAACTAAAAAATTTTAAATTGATATAAGATGATCCCTTCTAATATATATGTTCATGTTTAAATTCGTTTTGATCATTTGACGACATTAGATCAAAAGATCTACAAGATAGAGATGGTGGAAGATCTATGAGATAGAGATGGTGGACGTTAGAATTGGTATTAAGATGGACGTTTTAATACGCAAATCTATATATCATTGATTAGGAACTATACCCTTATCTTTTACGAAGCCCTCTAACTTTTAAGGGAAATTTTATTCACTCCACTTTTTATTTTTTACACCTCTTTCTTTTCAAAATTATTTAATTATTTTTTTCTTTTCGCTTCATCTTTTTCATTTTTAAACTAGATTTACAAATCTAAAAGCTTTTAAAAGTTTTGGATTTGCAAATCCAAAAGCTCTTAAAAGTCTTTGGATTTGTTTATCCGAAAGCTTAAAAATTTTTATAAGATATTTTTTTTCAATTGATTTTTTTTCTCACACCTAAATGTAATATTTTTTAATCTACTAGATATGAAAATTCAATAAGTTAAAACTTATTGTAAATATATATTAAGAAGCTTTAAAATTGATATGAGAAAGATAATTAAGTAATTTCATATAAAGAAAAATTTGAAAAAAAAAAGTGAGATATGGACAAAGAAAATTGAGGTGTATTTAGAACCCCTCAACCTTTAATATAAGGTGTAAAATACTAAGATTACTTAAATACCCTTAGAATAATTTATAAGTAAACACAGAGATCGGTATTTGTCTTAAATTATTCGGATCGCTCCTTTTTTTTGTTGTTCATTAATTTCATTAATTGAGTAAAATTTCCCATAGTAGAGTATAGATGTAACAATTTATTTGATTTTTAGTTTAACGTAATGATATGAATGTGATGTCTGTGTGGCGTGGGTGGCACTGGCAGGACAACGACAAAAAGAACATCCTGGCAGTCCAAACGCTACGAAACACCATAATGGGATCGACCCTAATGGCCACAACGTCCATCCTGCTATGTGCTGGTCTAGCAGCCGTCATCAGCAGCACTTACAGCGTCAAAAGGCCGCTGAACGATTCCATATTAGGTGCTCACGGGGAATTCATGGTGGCTCTCAAGTATGTCACCATCTTATGCATTTTCCTCTTCTCCTTTTTTTGCCACTCTGTATCCATCAGGTTCATAAACCAAGTGAACATCCTTATCAACACCCCCCAAGACCCCACGTCGGTAGTCACTCCTGACTACGTGTCGGAGCTGTTGGAAAGGGGGTTCCTCTTGAACACTGTCGGCAACAGACTCTTCTATGCTGCACTTCCTCTCCTGCTATGGATCTTTGGCCCGGTGCTTGTTTTCCTGTGCTCCCTCACTATGGTCCCTGTGCTTTACAACCTTGACTTTGTATTTGGCTTTAGCAAGCAGGGGAAAGTTGAACAATTGAATGGATGTAGGGACTGTGAACCAGTGTAATATATTATAGCAGTAAATATTCTAGCTAATAATAATTCTGTGTCGTGTGTAAAAAACGCTGTTAATTAGTGATTAATGTTAGTGTCCAATGAATAATATGGTCACTCGTTAATCATCTATTGATCCACGCATGGCCAGCGTAGCTGCAACTCCAATCGTTTTCGGTCCCAAAAAGCGAAGTGTTCAGAATTTGAGTAATTCAGTTTCAAGTTTCAACCCGCACCAAAGCCTAATTAATTCACAGCCACCAATCACCATTAATTTATTATACTGTACTACTAACATCAAATAGCTCCGATGACCCAAGTCCAAATTCCTTTCACGAAAAAGGCCATGCTCTTTTGCACCATGCAGTACTAAAATTAACGGGATCATGCTTAACTGATTGTTTTTTCCTCCCCTCCCTCTTTGTATGTTGTTTAGAATATTGGTGGATGTAATAATTGAACGTCATATAAAAAATTATAAAATAATTTTGGTGGACTAAGTATTTGATAGCGGTCACAAACTATATATTATAGCTAAATTTCATAAATTAATATATATTATTAAAAATTATGGTTGTGCATCTAGTGAAACATTGTATTTGCTCATCAATAATAGTTATGTTTAATCATTGATGAAATATTATCATTGATCACCAAATATATTACTAATGTTTAATCATTGATGAAATATTAAATTTGGTCATTAAGTTGTCTTAAAAATTGACATGTATTTTCATCAATTACATAAAATATTCATTTTCACTATTCTATTTGGAGTGTTCAAAGCTTTATTGTATCATGAAATCACAGTAAAGTCTCAAGAAAAATGGTTTACATGCCTCAAAGCCATCTTTCTTAACTTTTGTTTTTTTTTTTTTTAATTTCACTCTCTAATTTTCTAACGCTCCCCTCTCTCCTCTTTGAGGCCGAATCTGGCCAGATCTTGCCAAAAGAGACTGAACCCGTCATTGGTAGGTCAAAAATGTTCTGATATATACTAGATTGGAATCCACTTGAAACAGGCCGAAATGCAGGCGGGTACAACAAATTAGAGGGGAGATTGACGAAGAGAATGGAGGGGAGGATAGAGAAAGAAATTAGATATAAAATTAACTTTATAACTTTTAAATAATTAATTGTTGGTTTGTCTTAAGGAGTAATAAATGTTAAGGTGACTTCTTTACTAAAAAAAAATGACAAAAAAAAAAAGTGTTATGAATAATTTTTTTCCCAAAGTTATGAATAATTTAAAATGATAATTATTAACTAAAAACATGTGTAAAAGTTTTAAAATGTTTATTTTTATATAAGTAATAAAAAGTCAAAGTTAATTGAAAAAAATTTCAATCTTTAAAATACTATTGAAATAAGAGTTCCTGCAGGAATCCTATCCATTTATTTTTGCCAATAACTTTCAACATAAAAAAGCATTATCCTTCGACATCTATGGAGTCTATATAATTGTGTTCCTTACGTGAAGGTAATAATCAATATATATATATATATATATATATATGAAAGAAATTAACACATGTAAATACAATTTCAGCCCCTTAGCGCAATGAGTAATTATTCATCAAATAAAAAATTTATTTTTTTAATAAGAAAAGGGAGATTCAAAACTTAAAAATACCTTATATTAACAAGTTAGAATTCTAAAACAAACAAAGTTTAGAATCCAAGCTTTATAATAACTTATTTCGCTAAAATTTTAATTGATGTAAAGTAATAATTCTTTCATGAGATTTTTTGTGAAAGCATATATTACTAATATATGTAGGTTTGCATATATTTTTATCATCGCTACCCTTAAGAATTAGTAAATTTGATTAATTTGAATTTTTTTATTATGAATTAATGTTATGAATGATCGTTAAACTATAGTAAAATGTTCAATAGGATACTTGAATTTTAAAAATATTTAATATAGTATTTAAACTATAAATTTATTAACTAATATGATATTTGAATTATTATTTATTTATCATGTGTTATCATTTGAAATTAATCACTTTAAATATGAATATCATATTAATTAACATATTTATAATTTAAATATCACATTAAAAATTTTTAAATTTTAAATATTATATTAAAAATTTCACAATAATTTATGGGTTAATTATGACATTAATCATTTTGTTATTTATAGAAGAAAGATACTCCATAATGCCTTTGAAATATAAAAGAATGCTTTGACAATAATCCTATGAGCTATATATGTTATTAATTTAAAAGGGATAATATTCGAATAAAGTCTTAAATTTTACCAAAAAAATTAAAATAAATTTTTTTATCTTCCCTTGCATGAAATTAAGGTTATTGTAATTATATTCATTAAATTTAAAAATCAATTTAATCACTTGATATTATGTTTGTCATAATGTATAGATTTATTAACCTATCGCTAGACATAGATTAAAAGAGTTGCAACCAATTTTTGTTGTTTAAGTACGATTGACTACCTAATCAAATCTATCATATTTTAAAGAGAAGTCTCAAGGTTAACTTAGGTATCTTTAAATAATATATTATAATCTACAAAATCGTATTTAAGTTCGAAAATATGATTACGTGTAAGAAAAGTTATAGTATTCTCACAACACCCATTCAAAGAATGGTACTAGTTTAACTTTAAATTATCAAAGCCTAAAAATATCTTTATAATTTGTCAAATAATTTAATTATAAAAAATTAATCTTAAAATTACTCTAATAGTTTGGTAATAATTTAAGATAATTTTCTCACCTTATGAATATTTATAGAGATTAGTATCTCATTCTGAAGAAACTTCATCGTCGAATTTATTTAAATTGTATTTAAAAAAATACCAATAAAATCTTATAATAGTTTGGTAAATTTTACTTTGATACAAATCTCCTAATAGTTTGATGAAATTTTATTGTAAAATTATGTATGAAATTTATTTTTAAAAAATTCATTAAACTTTTTAATAGTTTGGTAATATCTAATTCAATATTTAAATTCTTCAATAGTTTAGTAAGAATGAAAATTTTATTATTTTTTTTTATGAAAAATTCATTAAGTCCCCAATATTTTAATAAAACCTAATTCAAGATTTAAATCCTCCAATAGTTTGGTAGGATTAAAAATTTTATTATTATTATTTTTAAAAAATTCATTAAATCTTCAAATAGTTTGATGGGACTTAATTCAAGATTTAAATCCTCCAATAATTTGGTATGATTGAAAATTTTAGTTTATTTTTTAATAAATTTATTATGAAATTCTCAAACAATTTGGTAGAATTCATAATTTAAAATTTCTAAACCCATGAAATAAAAAAATTCATAATTTAAAACTTACAATTTTTAAATTTTATTTTAAACATACATAAAGTGAAATAAATGAATATATATAAACAAAATGTGAAATTTACCTTAATGGATGAAGACACGCTTAGGTGGAAGTATCCATTGATCTGTAGTGGCAAATAGTCACTAATTCAAACCAAAGAGCTTTGTCACCAATTTCAACCAAATAGCTTGAGTATAAATTGCTACTCGTCCATATCCTAGTGGTTTTCTTTTTTTTTTTTTTGTAGTTGATTGGTGTTTATATAGGACTTTTTGTTAAGAATTTTAAGGATTTGCATTGAATGGTAAGGATTGCAGATTTGATTATGCTCTGAATTGATTTTTTTTACTTTCTTTAAAATCGATTTAATTAATTTCTGAAATTGTCTCAATTTTTCTTGATTTTCAAAATCTTTCAAAATTTTCCAAATTAAATTTAACTTTGATTCCCTGATTTGCTTTTTTTTTTCAGCCTTCTTTTAATATTTGAAGAGATCATATTCAAATCTTAATTGTTAAGATCATCTTTGATTAGTGCTCAAATTACTCCACAAATTTTATTGACATAATTTATGATAAAAATTTAAAATCAGATAAATAAAAGACTAAAACATAAAAATAAGACAAATAAATAAATAAGACAAACAAGATATACAAAAGAAATGTAGCAAATTGGACAACTAAGCTTTGAATCTGGGCCTAATTGGTTTGAGCCATAAATAAAATAATGTATCTACTGCTGTCCCTCTTTGCATAGTTTCTGCGAAACAAAATTGTACAAAGATATAGATACCCATTAAGTCCAAGCCTAAATTATTTAATTTTTTTCTTTTTTTTGTTTTTGTTTTTTCATTTTTTTTCGTTTTGTTTTTTTGTTTTAAAGGCCCTTCGAAAGCAAAGGTACCTGCTATTAAAAATAAAGGTTCCTTTAACACGAAGGCACATAACTTTAAAGAAATTAAAGACAACACTTGAAGGTTTTGATGATTATGCCTAGAGGTCTTATAGATCATGTTTGAAAAACTAAGAGATTATGCCCTGAGGTCTTACAAATCATCGATTGTAAAATAGATTTAACTTAGAAAACTTACAAATCTTATTCAAAGAACTTGGAGATTAAGCTCAAAGTTGTTACAAATCTCCACTATAAAATAGATTTAACTTCGAAGATTTATGAATATTGCACAGAAGACTTAGAGATTATGCCTGAAGGTTTTACAAATCTTAACTCTAAAATAAATTCAGCTCGAAAGACTTACGAATCTTACTCAAAAGATTTTTATATTACACCCAGAAGTCTTACAAATCTTGACTCTAAAATAGATTCAACTCAAAAGACTTACAAATCTTACCTGGAGGACTTGGTGATTATGCTTGGAGGCTTTACAAATCAAACTTTGAAAAGAATTCAATTTGAAAGACTTATGAAGCTTACCCAGAGCACTTGGTGATTATGCCAAGAGGTCTTACAAATTAAACTTCAAAAAAGACTTTTTTTTTAAAACAAATGTTCAACTACTTTAAGAAAATTGATATTTGAAGGTTTTAAAAATCATGTTCAAAAGTCTTATAGATTTTGCTTTGAGGACTTTAAAAAGAATTTAACAATTTTGAAAATATACTTGGAGGTTTTTTAAAATTGATACTAAAAAATTTTAATAAATATACCATGAGGTAAATTCTTATTTGATCAAAGTTTTCTTTTTTATCAAAAATTTAAGTCAACATATTTTTCCCCTGAAAAATATGAATGCAACATATAAAATAGATGTGATCCATACAATGCATGAAATGCAATGAATGCAATGTATGAATTCTACACCGAATGTCCATAATTATAGTAATAGTATTCTTAAAAATTTTTCTTCTTTTCATCTTTCCATGATATAGCCTCTGAATTAGTTGATAAATTCTTTCACACCCTAAAGCTAACATTCTCAACATTTTCATTCTTGAAAACTATTCTTCTTGTCTAGTGAGTTGTTTTAACATCGATCCCTTACATTTGGCATTTTTTTACCCTAGAAAGGTCTCTTATAGCGTTCACCTATCTCTCACCACGAGTATTAAAATTTAATACATT